TAGTAAACATGAACATGTTATCTTAGTCCACTTTGAAGTATTTTGATAAAGGATAATGTAAGAAGAATGCCAGCTGTTTCTTTGAAGTGTCCAGGAGGGGAAGGCAAGGTGTGAATTTTCCCTTCAGACGCTGATGTTTCAATTTGTCCTTACAATTCCCATATCTCCATAGGATCATATACAGCTGAAAGCATAAATTTTCATCATGTATTTTCAAATACTCAATCCCAGCCCAGTAGGTTTATTTGCTTCTCTCTAAGACAGGTGTTCCATAAAGGTCTTGGCTGGGGCTCATTGCATCAGGACACAGGGCTTGCTTGGGGGCTGAAACATCAGGCCTTCCTCATGGGGCAGAAGGGACCATACCCTTGTAGGGGCCCCCATTCTACTGCTCCAATGTGGGTGAAGTTGGTGTGGTTGACCCTTTTTGGCAAACAAGACACCATGCTCTGATCTCTCACAGCTTTCCTTATCTCCTTATTCCTTAAATTGGCTTTTAAAAAAAGGAGTTTTACTATCAAGAGTAAGAAAAAAGGTATTCTTCCCCTTACCATCTGTGGCCTTCTGTTTGCCAGAATTTGGAAGAAAACAGTTTTTGGAACTCCATCTCCCAGAATTTTCAGGATGTGGCCAAGAGATTTTGAGACTTGATATATCAGAATGAAAATGGACATAAATACAGTGGTGTCTTGCAAGACGATTTTAATTTGTTCCGTGAAAATCGCTGTCTTGTGAAAAAATTGTCTTGCGAGGTTCCCTATGGGAACCTTGCAAGACGAATGAAATTTATTCGTCTTGCGAAGCATCGGTCTCGGGGGGGAAAAATCTTGCGAAGCATGGTCATAGAAAAAACCATCTTGCGAGGCACCGTAGGGATCGCTGAAACCAATCGTCTTGCAGGTTTTTCGTCCCCCAAGGAAATAGTCTTGCGAGGCACCACTGTAGTTTGGTGTCCATGCCCTTTACCATTGTAAGGAATGTCATCCAGTCTAGAGCAGGACAGGAGTAGACATTAACGCTGCTCTAAAACCAGTGCATGAAACATATAGCATTTGAAACCAGAGATGAGGAAGTGTTTCCAGCTTGTTCTGTTCATGAGGGGTTCGTTCTGCTCCCATTCTTCTTCCTCCTCCCCCACCACCCACATTGTATCCTTTATTTGCCATTTTCACATCATGTTCTTCTTAAATATCTTGGTTTTTCATATGGTTACACAGTAGAGCTACACATAATGTGTGTTTGTTTTGTGATATTCCCATTTGCCTAAAATAGGAGTGAGGGCATGAGGCTCTGCAAACATTGTTGGATTGCCTGTTGGCCCTGGTTACTGGGGCAGATGGGAACTGTAGTTGAACAACATTTGCAAAATCACGGGTCCTTCCCTTCTGCCTTCAAATGGAGTGAGTTTCATGCAACATATTCAGAGCAGTCTGAATGTCTAATCCCGTCCTGTTCTATGGGATTGCTAGATGTAGGTGTCTCACAAAAACATAGCTCCTGAGGCAAAGGACATAGAGGCAAAATCGTTTATTCCTCAACTTGTATTTAACTCTTCCTAACTGAGACTATGCCTTCAGTCTACAAAATATTTAATCTGAGGAGCCCACACACTGCAATGTATCTGCTCCAGAATTGTGTCAGTTGTGGTTTTTAGCTTTTATATCCCTGCTAGTTTTTATCCAGTTTTTGTCCAGCCTCATCACTGGATAAAGAAACACTTGTAAATTGCAGCAGCTCTTCTTTTTTTCCATTGGCAAATGGAAATGATGACTTCTTCCTCGAACCAGCAAGATATGTAGGATGAATGCCGTATCAGAATGGATATAATTTGAAGAAGGGCCACAGTTCATAAATAATGTAGTGTACAGTATTTAGAAAGGACTGTTCCAAATCCTTTCCAGTAAAAGAGCTTCTCAGTTACAGAGCATAACAATGGGCTGTGGACAAACAGAGGCCCATCAAGGTAGCTGTCAGGAATGTGCCAGAGGCAGTGGCCTGAGATGTGCTGGGATCTAGGACAGGTCCCCAAAAATTGGATTCAAGAAGTGAAGCCAAGAGTTAGAACAAAAAAGCAAATTGGGATTGCAGGACGTATCAGGAGCCAGAACTGAAGAAAAACATGCCAAATGTGAGGACCAAATAATAACTACATGGGGCAGATGCATGCAGACCCAAAGGTTATCCATTCAATTCCTAGCCTCTTATGATAACAAAAATGGCATCCTGCTATTTCAGCATGGTACTTTCCAGGTGTGCTAGATGGCAACTCCTGCAATTCCACAGTTATGCTAGTTTTGAGATTGTGGACATTGTAGTCCAACACATCTAAGGGGCAAGGGCTTGGTATAGGTTGCTGTGGCCAATTGGAAGAATGTGGGCCATCCGGTGGTGTCCTCTTCTATGGGACTTGTATAGAACAGTGGGATTCTGCTGGATCCCATTGCGTACGCCAGAATTAGCAATCCTTATTTTTTCCTTCAGACCTCTGTGGCTACTTCAGATGGCTATAAAATTCTATGAAGTGGATTTTGGGCACCACAGATGGCTGCAGTGGAATAGGTAGGGGAAGAGAGTCCTGATTCCACTGGTATTGAGTGATTTTGACACCATTGATATTAAGGAAAAAATCCATCATTGGATCTTCCACCATTTTGATTGCACTCTCTCTCTCTCTGTGTCTGTCCAGATTTGACTAGAGTAGTGGTGCATGGCAGGAGGGGGAAGAACAGGGTGGTTAACCCTTTCTATTACCATGCACTGAGCAGGGGTTTGGACTTGGTTCCCATAAAAGCCCCTTCATTATTCAATGATTCCTGACCAAAATTGCTCCCCATCTTCCTATGGGACTAGCAGAAAACACTGGAGAATTGGATTTAATTTGGAAACCTGATGAAGGGGGAGAGGTTGAAAAAGACACTTTCCCCATCCCCCACTGCTTTGAAAATATCTTGAAACCTAGCAAACCACACGTTGGCTGCATTAAAGCAAAGACAAAAACCAATGAGAAATTCAGTTACAGATATTGGCCATAACCTATACCTTTTTTAATTCTGGTAGACTTGCTTCCATGTGAAAATTCCAAGCACTTAGAAAGGTGGCGTGTCTTACTTAGGGGCTTCTCACCAAGAACCTTTCTCCACGATTCCTAGCAGGATGACAGGTTCTGCACTGAAATAGGGTGCGGAGGAATAGTTTCCTTCACATGCCTTTTTTCTCTGGAGAATCGGACTCCTGACCTGGGATGCGAAAAGCTGCCAGTTTCATTTTTCTGGCATTCTTCAGAATCTCACTAGAATTCTCATCCAACTCCAGTTCCATATTAGGTTGAGAGATTTCCCCCCCCCCCTTTCCATATGAGAATTTAGTGTTCTTTGCTTGCAAACTTTTCGTACTCTTTTTTGTATGCATTTTGATTCATTCCCCCATAGATTGAAGCCTATCTGTGTTAATTTTTCAAATGTATTTGTTATCCCTATTGTACACTACCCAGAGTGATCTCAGACCTGATGGGTGGAACGAACGAACAAACAAACAGTTGTGCACATTTTTCACACATATGCATTTATTTTTCTCTGCTGAAATGCTTTAGAAGCTCCAAAAATGTGCAGATTTGAGAGACAAGATGTACTTGGTTCCATGGCCAATTTCAGGTGGTACAGAATGGACATGTTTATACATCAATGAAAAGACAATTAATTTCAACTCCTTTTCCCCCATCCCTCCTTTTGAAATCTGGAAAGAGCTATTACGTACAGTTTAGTACAATTCCTCTGAAACATGGTGCTCACTTGCCACACACCTCTCTCTCTCTCTCTCTCTCTCTCTCTCTCTCTCTCTCTCTCTCTCTCTCTCTCTCTCGGCAAGGCCACTTCACCACCTCTGTCCTAGATGGCCACCTCTTTCTAACATAACATTCTGCATATAAAATAGATTGCCACATTGCAGAAGAGGCAAAATATTTAGAAAAGTTCTTTTGGTATCACATTTTACAAATGATTGCTCTTGGCCTTCCATTCCATTAACCTATCAATAGAGTAATATTCTGTTATTCTGTTTTTTTTTTAAGATAAAGCCTTTAAGTAAACTAAAGATAACAATTCACTTCCACAGCCTCACTTTTTTATATATACACCCACTTGTGCACACTCTCCAGTCACAGGAAAATCTTACCTGCTTGTTTATTTATTGTGAGGTCCCTTTGCCTGTAGTGAGCTAACCACAGAGTTATTCCAAGGCAGTAAATCCATATGCTGATTATTTTGGGCAATTCACTGAAAACTCACATTAAAATATAATAATTAGTCTTTAAGGTGCTACAGGTTGTCTTGTTTTGTTTCTTTGGATGTTGTCTGATTCACTGAACACTGTGCTTGTGAATGCAAAACTAAACACAGCTCACTAGAGACAATAAATTTGGTACAGTTCAGATTGATAGAAAGAAAGACAAGTCAAGAAACGGCACAGGTCGCTGTGGTCTCTCTCCTGGAACTGATGTTGACCTGTTTTTCACCCTTCACATGTAAACACAAACCCTTGATTGAAGCTCATCCACTGATTTTTATCCCATGATGGCTGATTATGTAAACAGGACACTGGAATGCCAAAGTGCCTATTGCAAAGTCTGTTGACATTCCATGCACAGAGTAATTTGGCTTATTCCAAAATAGGCAAAGACATTTGAAAGGCTCTTTTTGACTCACATTTTTTCCCAAATTGCTACCGTGGGCCTCTGAAATTATAATTTTCCTGTCAGTTTTCCAATCAATACGTTTCTCCCGCAAAAAAAAGACTGAGGTAAAGAAATATGACATTGACTTGCTGAAATGACTCTGATTTGTGTGTGTGTGTACACACACACACACACACACACACACACAGAGAGAGAGAGAGAGAGAGAGAGAGAGAGAGAGAGAGAGAGAGAGAGATCATGCTCGATATTTCCAGTCACAGGAAGATCTTTTGCTTTAAAAAAAAATACACACACACACAACCTCCAAATGTGAGGCTGCCTGTACTGAAGCAGCCGCAAAGTGCTGCAGTTCTGTATCCACTGATAGCAGCTGAGAACTCGGGCAAAGGCTGCTCCAAACTTCTCAGCTGTTGACAGGCTTGACTTGCTGAGAACAGTGGTTAAATATAGCGCGGCCGAGCTCAGCTCCACAAAGTCATTGCTCTTAACAGCATGTAAGGAGACCAAGAGAGGGGAAAACACAATCTTAGGACTTCACTGCCAAAACATAGCACCACAGCGCAACAGTTGTGGCAAGACAACAAGGGAAAAAAAGTCTTTCAAACAAAAGCCTGGGTGAAACATAAAGACAGCTTGCTCTGTACCTCCTGTTTCTTCTGACTGGTGTATCTCTGAACAGGAACTACGTTCCTCTTTTGCTCTCTTCCCTTTTTTCCTACATGACTTTTAGTCACTGGTACTGATAGATCTAGAGAGAAAGAAAATCTTCTGTCCACCTTTTGTTCTGGGCCTGGATACCCTCAATCTTGATCATGGAAGCTGAATTTCTGAAGCTTTTGAAGAATATAGTCTCGTTGTAAAAGGACACTACAACTGTCTCCTTACAACTGTCAGGTAAGATCATTCTGACTTCTTCAATGGATTTTTTCCTGAAATGATAACTCCTATTATTGTTGTTGTTGTGCTGTTGTTGTAGCTTTTTGTTTAGCAATGTTCCCTACATTCCTCTCCCCACCTTTGTCCTTGCCCTTTGTCCTTAATGTTCTATTTAATTTGGAAAGAAAACACGCTTAAGACAGACAGGATTTTTTTTTGGTTTCCATCAGTATGGGAAAAACACCAGGTTTGTCACACTATCTGTCACACTAACAAATTAATAATTCTAAAGTGCTGTGAGGTAGATGACAGGAGGTAGTACACACACAGAGAGAGAAAAGAATCAGCTTTAAATGTATAAAACACATTGTGTCAGAAGATTCCTCACTGTTGCCTTCCTTGCCTGGGTATAACTCCCACTGAATTAATTCGGGCTTACTTCTGAGTAGGCAAGTAGCGGATTACATTGTTCAATTTGTTTAAAAAGAAGACAACAACCCTTGTCTCTAGCTGTAAAACCTAATAATGATGGCAAGCAAGAGGAAACAGGCATGCTATAATGTTCTCAGTTAATTGTGTGGGTCCTGTCTGTTGTTTTATGATTTCATCGGTCTATTTTCTGCCTGCTCTTGGTCCACTTGGTACATTTTGTTCTGCCCTTTTGACAAGTGTCCTCCTGAGTGCTTCTGCTGGCCGTATCAGGCATATCTATCATATTAAATCATAGTCTGAATGTTTACTTCATTTGAAAAAATCCATGAGGTTGCTCTCTGGACACTTATAAAAAATAATATTTTGGGATGTAGCAATGACTGAATCCACTTCTATACATTTTAAGATACATACACCTTTATGGCAAACTGTCAGACCACAATGTTGCCTTGTCAGATTCCCAGGTCTCTTAACAGTTAGTCTGACAGTGATATTTTAATCATAAATACCTTTACTTGGAAGTAATTCCCTCTCATTTCAGTAGGATTTTAACTGGCAGTTCTCCATAAAAAGTGTGTTTATTACCTATGATTTGATTTTTATCTTGCAGTGTGATTGTGTCAATCATTCTGAAAAGGTTGTTACATGGTGGAGTGCAAACATTTTGTGTACATAAAGCTTTGTGTTTAGGATGGCAGCTTAAAGCTGATAGTTTGGGTCATGTTGCCACATAATTCTGCCTGCACTTTAACCATCAAAAAACAATACAAAGCAACAGTAATTCCTAATTTGTGGGAAAGTGGGAGTTTTAAATAGGCATACAAGTTCTGATAACAAGAAATGTAGCTTAACATTTAGCTAAAATACTTTTGTTTAAGCAGTTTTTCAGAATTATAGAAATTAGGACCATTCATCAAATTTGGACAAATCTCAAATTACTAACCCAATTAGTCTAATTTGAACATTTTGTGTGAAGTCTGAATTAAGGTGGAAAGGCTAGATTCTGTTCCAAAGCAAGGTGAAGAGAGTTTAGAAATCATTTTGTTTCTGGAATACAAATGGAATGAAATGGGGTATAAATCTCTTGTGTTATCTTGTCCACAAGCTCTTGAAGCTTGCTATCTCTATGGAATCTACATTACATTTCATCTACACAAGTAATTTTTTTTTGTTTTTCCAGCGTAAGTGAATAGGAGGCTTACAAATATCTTAAGATCACTAGCACAAGCCAAATTGTTTGGGTGACAGATTACTCTGGCCTGAATCGAGATCTATTTGGAGTCTCTGAACTGGCCTCTGAATCAGACCTGATTACCAGGGCATCGTCTCCAGTGTTGTGACCAGAACATTTTTACGCTCCTGTGGCAGTCTTAGGAAGAGAAGATTGCATTGTTTCAGATAAACATATAACTAAATTAGCTGATCAATCACCTGGCATTTCAGTCCTAATCACTTCTCATTTGAATTACACTTTAGTGAGTAACAGTGCAATTCTGTTATCTTTGCTCAGAAGTAAATTCGATACTGTAGATTCTTGTTTGAGTGCTCTGCTCACACAACCAGCTGAGAAAGAGAAATGACATTTATGGAGCTTGCATGGGCGAATCCAGTACCCCTTTGTGCAAGCAACAGCCCCACTCTCATGAATAGGTGCACTCTGTGATCTTTGCCTCTGTAGCAGAGGCTGGGTAACTGCCTTCCACGCCACCAATGGTCAACTAGAGACTGTCCATGAAGAATGAGCCCATGTTCTAAAGAGTCAAAGACAATTTTTCCAGAAATATATAAACTGAGGGATTTTTAAAAGCTCTAATATCAGCTGTAGCATGTATTTGTATTTCTGGGTTTCTTTCTTCCCTAAACTGTTTCGGAATAGACACACACAGTTCTCCATCCCTTTTGTGCAATGCATGTTACCTTCCTCAGTCACACCACTACAGACAGGATATGACCTCTTCTTTGTCTTCCTCTTTTTTTTCTCTTCTCCACCCCCCTTTGTTCTTTTACAACCACCAAAAATAATAAATCGTTTTCCAGTCGTAGGGACAAAACTTCCATATATCTACTAGAATGTTCAGCTCTTTTGGACATACATAATGCTTAAACAGCGCTACCTAGTAGGAAGTCAATTGTATGATGCAGGGGTCTCTTGAAATTACAAGTGAAAACTCAATAGAAGTCTCACAACATTTTATGAAAAGAAAGTGGTAAGATGTATTCCTAATATATCAAAAAGTTACAGTACAAAATGGAGAAAGGTTTAAATTGTTCTTGAATTTTATGAGGCACTAAAATGAATTAGTTCAATCATTATTCTATGAGCCTCCCCTCTGGACAAAAAAATAGATTTGTAACATCACCCTGCTGCCTTTGTGGGAGGACTTTGTCTCCTCTTGATTTTTCCCTCCAGGGTCCTGTTGCTGGCTTCATCTTTATATTTTTTCTAGATGACTCTTTCATTTCATATTTTTGTAATGAATTTAAAAAAAGACTAAGAGACACAGTCATCTATCAACACTGATCTATCGATATGTGCAATAAAGAAAATAGTTTAATTATCATGTATTGATCTCTGATGTTTCATTTTGTTTTCCACTCGGAATTAGTCTTGGAGGCTAAGATCACCCTTCTGAGCAGGCACCCACATAGGAACCCCTGAATTTTCCGACGGAATCTATGAAATATGTAAAATGCGCTTGTCAACAGCTGGATTCAGAGGAGTTGTAAATGTTTGTCTGGGTTTTTTAAAAGAAGTTAAATCAAGTTAACGGAGCCCTTGGGATGGGCTGTAAAAATACAAATGTGTAAAAATGCAAAGACTTCATCTTCTAAGCTGAAAACATCATTTGTCTTAGCTAGATCCACTATGTAGAATTTTGTCCAGGGAAAAGATACAGACCTAAACATCTGTGTTCTTTTTCTTTCCTCTCTCCTTTGCTCTAAATCATGATGCCTTCATGGAAATCCCCAGAATAGTTCTTCCCAGAGCAGAAGGGCAACCAGTGGCACGATCCTGTAAGGAGTGGCGTTCGTGGCAATTGAAAACTGCTGTTGCTCTGTTTGGGAGGAACAGAACTGACCACAGTTTGACCACTTCCAATTCCATTGCTGTGCAGTAAGATGAAGCACCTTTAATGTTTCTATTTGAGTCACTGTGACCACAGCTGTCTTTTCAGCAGAATATCTCACATGGTGCTTCTTGAAGAAGGGTTTTTAAAACAGTTTACGTGCACTCATGTAGCACTGCCTGCTGCTTGCAAACCATAAGGCAGGGGAAGGGAAGTGTGGCCCTCCAGATATTGTTGGATTGCAATTCCTATTAGCCCTCTCTAGCATAGTCATTGTAGAGGGATGATAGGGTGCAGAGTCGAACAATATCTGAAGGGCCACCACATGGCCCCAAGTCTGGAAAAAATCCTTTTTGAGACTGCAGGTTCCTGAACCCTCCAGCTAGCAGGATTGGCCTGGGGGATTCTGGAACAGGCATTACAAATTGGAGGGGGGGGACGACTTTTCTAAGCTCTAAGAGATGCTTCATTGTCTGTTCTCCTATTGAATGCTGCTTAGTCTAAATGGAATCACAGGACCAGCATGGGTGGCAGAGACCAAAAGAATAAGCAAAGTCTTTGTCTGTCTTTGTGACTTTCTGTCCCTCTTTGATGCACTTTCTCTCTTGGGACATAGTCAGATGTGATGTGGGAACTTTGTAATCAGGAGCTCTTACAGCACAACACAGAACCTTTGGCCATCCCAGTATTTTGGGCCATAACTCCCATAAATCTGTAGTATTGGTCATGAAGACTGGAGCTTCTGGGGGCTGACATCCAAAATTTCTGGCAGGCCATACGTTGCCTACTCCCATCCTTCTTTTCAGGTTAATAAAAACAGATCTGTTTCTACAAGTCATAAAGAAATATTCTAGCCAACCCATTCCTTCTGTGCTGGTTTTCTGCCTGCAGGGAGGTTGGGTTTTGTTTTATGTTTCAATATAAGTCAGCATTAACAAATATGATTCCTCACTCATCATCCTGAGCAATGGATTCAATTATAGTGCCTCTGAGTTCTTGTTATTTTTTTTACCAGATTTTCCCCCAGATAATGTCAGGACAGCTTACCACTCCACCAACATTATCTCTGGCCTCTGTAGCCCATGTTTCAGTGACTAGTATATTAACCTCCCAGATTTGTTCATGGCGGGGTGCTCAGTTTAAAACCATCCCAAAGCAAATAAAAGGAAATTCATCATGGCATGATATCACAAGGGGAAGTATGTCAGTTAAGTTAAAAAGAATGGGGTGGGTGCCACTTTGCCTTTTTGCATTATCACCATCATGAGGTAACTTTAGGGAGGCTACTATGCCGGAGCTCATTCAGCCACCTGTGTTTATGTCATCTTGGCTTAGATAAGACATACTGTATGCCAAAAGTCCAGTCAGGAACTTCTCTGTCCCTGACCATCCAAAGGAAGTATCTGTACTTGCATACAAATGACTGCCTCCCCAGTGTAAGCACTAAAACACACTGCCTTGGGGCATTGAAGCCCGCCAATATTCTGTTAATTATGCAGAATATTTTCAGTCATTGCTGCTATCTAAACAATGTTAAGAAGCTTTGGGTCCTTTCTTTACCAAAGGACGAAACTATTGAACTGTGTTCTTTGTGATCCAGAATGCCCTGATGCCTCTTCTAGAGATCCTCTGCTTTCATCCCATTTCCCCCATCTCTCATTGCATCTGGCACTAGGGATGTGCATAGTGAAAATGTTATTATTCAGCAAATTTTAGGTTTTTTTTTCCAGGGGTGCCTATTTCATTTTTATATTTTTTTGGTGTGTGTAGCAGTTATTTAGGATTACACAAAAGAGAAAGCTTCTTTCATGTAATTTTGTTTTGCATTTTCCTTATTCATGTTTTCTAGAAATCCAAAAGCTCTAAGGAATCCTTTAAAACCACTCCAAAAAGCAGAGGCAAATCAACAGAGAATCAGTCTACTCTAAGTGCAAGTAACAGTACAACCAGCAATAACCACCCAAGATAGCTCAGTGGTGCATAACATAGTCACAAACTCAGCTCTGCTGCTGCCCCACAGATGCAAACAAAAGAGTCCCACCCGCTGCTCCTCAAACACAGGAGGGGGCTCGAACTATTTTTATTCAAATGTGAAAGGCCCATCCTTATCTGACACCCTCTGCTTACTAAAGCCATGTTTTTACCTCCTAAGCTTCATTTGGTTACATTCTATAGCTAATTCCAGCAGAAAAAGCACTGATCAGCTGCCTTCTTTGCTCTAGCAGGCTCTTGTGTTCCTTCATGGTAGGGCAAACCTAACACACACCAATATAATTCCCATGTGGTCAACTGCACGGCCATGCCCCGTAGGTGTGTAGGTAATGGACATACTGGGACTTACCTACTAAGTAGGCATAGCTGAAATTGTATTACAAGTTCTGCTGGACTCAGATATATTGCTTAAATCAATCACTCTGTACAGTGTGGGACTTATTTACTTCCTTGTAACAACACAGGAACAAAAGAGATGATTTTGCTTTATCGTTGCAGTTGTATCTTAATTTCATTCATCCATTTAATGTGCTACAAAATACACATTGCTAAGGTTTTCTTTTTAAAAAAATGTAATTAGTCATTAGGGTACACAGGGGACCTCAGATTTCTCATTTCCTGCTGCTTCATCTACTTCCTTGTTGCAAATTCTCAGTATACTGTGAAACGCACTTTCTTAAGGGAAAATTCAGTTTCTGTATTTATTGGGAAAATGTGGGAAAGTTCTGCAAGAACTAATCAAACTGCAAATGGTTTGCCATCAGCTAAGTATATTAGAGTAAACTCCCTGAGATCCACCAGAGTATAAATTCACACGAGTCCCCTGAACACACTTAATTTGGATTGCTTGTATGTGAGTCACATAATGATTTGTGACTGTTTTACACAAACTCCTGTGAAATAAAGAATAAGAAAACCTACAGAAGAGGGACGAGAAACAGGGGATCAAGAACTGGGACTACAGAGTTCAAGAATAGGGATTATGTACAGCCACTATTTGATACTTTGGAAAGCATGATAAACAGAGACTTCCTAATTCTTCTGTGTATTGCGATATGTACCAAACCAACATGAAGTTGTTAAAGAGTTTGTCACTTGCTGTTGATGTTGCAGTTACAATATCTTTCCCAAAACTGGGGCTTTCAAGATATGTCAGGCTTCAACCCTCATCATGCTGGATTAGAATGATGGGGGTTATAGTAAAGACACTTGGGAGCATCAGGGTGAGTTGGTGTATTTATCTTCATGTTTGCAGCTCTGGTTTCCCCACTACATGCAGATATGTCAGCCTACAACTTCCATTATCCTAGGCAGAGGTAATGAATTTTGTAGTCTGAGATAGCCAGAAGCATGTGGGAAGTTGACATAGTATGACCATACAGTAGTTGCATTCCATTTTCCCATATAAGTCAGTCCTTTCTGAGAGATGATGATGAAAAATTCCATTACTATGTTTCAAATATTTTAGGTGTGTCTCTCCCAGGATGTTATTGTTTATATTTTTAGAGTTATGAACTGTTCTGTTGCGGGGGCCGGGGGAATTCTAAAAATAGGTTTCCTGTAGCTCCTTCGATAGTGGAGTTTATCCACTAGATAATGTGGCAAACAACTGGGGAAAAGAAAATCAACACAAAAGCACTTAGAATAGTAATAATCTGAGAACTGCAAAGCTAGAAGAAACCCTATGGATCATCAAGTCCAGCCCCAGTCAATGAGGTACATTAGGGAATCGAATGCTCAACCTCTACCTAAAACACAGAGCTATCCAGCAGTTGGCAGAGGAAAAAGGATGAATGAGTTTATGAAAATGTTTACAAAAGAAATTGGGTATCCTCATTGCAGCAAGAGTCTGACTAGATCAGAGGATTCACAGCTGCTGTGGCTGCTCGGCCTCTACCCCATAGAAAACTCTCATAAAATTGTCTGCCTTGTAGCTATGAAAGTGGGAGAGTGGGACATCTTCAAAGCTTGGACAAATTGTCTGTGGGGGGGGGGTGCTACAAGTATGTATATATGTATGTATTTGTTTGTTTGTTTGCCACTCATATCTTAAAAGAGATACTTTAAAAAGAAGAGCGGCTTACAGTATTAAAATAGTGGTTTATTAAAAGAAACAATATTAAAAGCTAAAACAATAAATTATTGTAATATTACAAAAGAATTAAGCAGATTGATTGATTGATTGATTGATTGATTGATTGATTGATTGATTGATTGATTGATTGATTGATCGATCGATCGATCGATCGATCGATCGATAGATCGATAGATAGATGCTACAAAACTTTTTTGCTTCTCTTGTTAAGCCAAAACACACTATCACAACCACCTTTTTGAAAATTAGGTCAAGGTATGCTTTTTTCTACCTACCTTGCCTCTCCTGTTTCTGTCTTGGTACTCTGTTCTCCTTTTAATAGTAAAAGCTATTCTATAAGTCCAGTGATTTCCAGTATGATGTAGTGGATAGAGATTAATAACCCATAAATAATATATTCCCCATGGATCTGTTTTGCCTTCAAACTAGGGAGATAGTTTCCTTTGTTGGCGTATTTGCAAGACACTTCAGAATGTATTTCCTGACAAATAAATTGGCAGAGACACAGACAGACAGGCACAGTCTGACCCTTAGAACTTCCTTTGGCATTCATAGTATTACCCTGATGCAGAAGATACTCAAGCTTCGCACAAGAAGCCTCATGAGCTCCCAACAAAACATGGGACAGGCAAATGGATGGAAGAAACAGTTGGACAGAGTTCAATAGAGGTAGGTAGACTTAGAAAACTAGAACATGTTTTCTTTAAGTTGTCATTCAAAAATTTAAAGGCAAACTGGAAATTAGTTGAAAACTTTCATGAAAATATGATGCAGAAGTACAGTGGTGCCTCGCTTAACGATTGCCCAGCTCTATGACAAAATCGCTTGACGATTAGGTTTTTGCGATCGCTTTTGTGATCGCAAAACGATGTTTTAAATTGGTTTTTTTTCATTTAACGATAATTGGTTCCCTGCTTCGGGAACCGATTTTCATTTTACAACGATCAAAAACAGCTGATTGTCGGGTTTCAAAATGGCTCCCCGCTGTGTTTTTGGATGGGTTCCTCGCTTTCCAGGCACTGAAAATGGCCGCCCCTATGGAGGATCTTCGCTGGATGGTGAGTTTTCAGCCCATTGGAATGCATTGAGGGCGTTTCAATGCGTTTCAATGAGCTTTTTTATTTCGCTTTACGACGTTTGTGCTCTACAGCGATTTCACTGGAACGAATTAACGTTGTTAAGCGAGGCACCACTGTACTGTGTGTCGGACTTCAAAAGGAAAACCTAACTGACTGAGCTATCTAGCCAGCTTTAGGTAAAGGTAAAGGTTCCCTTTGACAATTTTTGTCCAGTCATGTTCGACTCTAGGGGGCGGTGCTTATCCCCGTTTCCAAGTCATAGAGCCAGCGTTTGTCCGAAGACAATCTTCTGTGATCACATGGCCAGTGCGACTTAGACACGGAACACTGTTACCTTCCCACCGAGGTGGTCCCTATTTATCTACTTGCATTTGCATGCTTTCGAACCTCTAGGTTGGCGGGAGCTGGGACAAGCGACGGGAGCTCACTCCGTTGTGTGGATTTGATCTTACTGCTGAAGATCTACAGACCTTACAGCACAGAGGCTTCTGTGGTTTAATCCGCAGCGCCACCACGTCCCAACTTTAAAGACTAACAAATGTATCAATGGTATAAAGCTTATGATTATGGTCCACTCAATATCTATGTAATTTATTAGATTTGTCTATTGCAAAAGATTTGTTCGTTTGTTTGTATTTGGCCAAACACTTCACTTTTGAATGAACATGAAATCATGTCACATTGATTATTGAAAACACAGATTGAGCTTTGTTGACCTGCTTTTATAATTTGACAGGAAATGACTATCTGCGATATATCTATAGCTGGTGGTGGGGAAGGGGGAGAAAACAGTTTGTCCCAGTGGAAGTCATTTTTCTTCTGTAGATTTATGACTGATAGCCAGAATTTGAATTGGTATGTGAGTGTTTCTAGAGAAAAATTAGCTTTCTGGCATGACAGTGCATATTGTTCAGAGACTGGGGGAGGTGTGAGCAGACAAATACAGAGAGATAATCTGAAGCATGAATGTTTCGCCTTAAATGGCCAGCCTTACTGTGAGGTTAACATACAAATGGGCCAGAATGTAGGGGTGTGTGAATGGAAAGGAATTCTGTGTAAAGGAATTGCATGTGTTTCACTTCGAGGTTTGCAGATTTATCGAACATCTAGTGTTGTTCAGGGGGCAGTACTGGAGTTAAACATAAAGTATCTTTATTTTGTTTTTAAAGCTATCTTATGGAAATGTAAAGACTAAAACAATGTGGAAATAGTTATTGGTTTGTTTTGCTATCACTCAAGTGTTCTTGAAATTCTGGTTATTGAAGGATACGGTTGTTTACTTTTGTCAGTGTTTGTCTAGTCTTTACATTTATTAAGTTATTTCAGCAGGGTGCTTATTTCTGAAAACATAGTATGTAACTGGTACTCTTACACAGAATATCTGCCTGTTCTCAGACTCCTCTGTCATGAGACTGACAGACTGTGATAGCAGACAAATGTTCCTCTGCCACATTACCACTGATATCCTGACTGCTACCAAGAGGGTTCTGCTTTCTATGAGAAACAAACGACAATTTTTAAAATGTTGTTGTTTAGTCGTTTAGTCGTGTCCGACTCTTTGTGACCCCATGGACCAAAGCATGCCAGGCCCTCCTGTCTTCCACTGCCTCCCAGAGTTTGGTCAAATTCATGTTGGTTGCTTTAATGACACTGTCCGACCATCTCCTCCTCTGTCGTCCCCTTCTCCTCTTGCTTCACAATTTCCCAGCATCAGGGTCTTTTCCAAGGAGTCCTCTCTTCTCATGAGATGGCCAAAGTACTGGAGCCTCAGCTTCAGGATCTGTCCTTCCAGTGAGCACTCAGGGTTGATTTCCTTTAGGATGTATAGGTTTGTTCTCCTTGCAGTCCAGGGAACTCTCAAGAGCCTCCTCCAGCACCACAGTTCAAAGGCATCAATTCTTTGGCGGTCAGCTTTCTTTATGGTCCAGCTCTCACTTCCGTACATCACTACAGGGAAAACCATAGCTTTGACTATGTGCACTTTTGTCAGCAAGGTGAGGTCTCTCCTTTTAAAGATGCTATCAAGGTTTGTCATCGTTTTCCTCCCAAGAAGGAGGCGTCTTTTAATTTCAGGGCTGCTGTCACCATCTGCAGTGATCATGGAGCCCAAGAAAGTCAAATCTGTCACTGCCTCCATATCTTCCCCTTCTATTTGCCAGGAGGTGATGGGACCAATGGCCATGATCTTAGGTTGTTTTTTTTTTTTTTT